CAGGATTCAGGAGATACACTGTAAAAAGATCAATTCTGCCTAAGATTAGCCATGTTAATTCTCTGATTCCCACAAACTGAAGTATTAGCTGTTGAAAATAATACTTTACAATGGATATATTAATTTCTAATAATTATTGGGTGGTACAATAGCAAATTCCTTTCTAACTAGTGACTTCTATTCATGGATGTAGTGCTATAAAGTAATACACCCTTATCATTCATATTTCTGGGTGGTTGAGTAAGGTAGGAACTATTTTTGATATGCAGGACCAAATACTGAAGCAGTGGGTTCCATGTGCTTTCTGTCAGCAAAAGTATCAACTGCCAGGAATCCCTGATAAGTCCTGTTTCAAGCAAGGAGAGTCTGGATAATACCAAACTACAAGACAACAGTTAGTGCGTGTGAACTGTCAGTGCTGCCAAACTGAATTACCATTCCCACCCAAAATAAACACCCTGAAGTTGAACAAAGCTAAGCCATCCTTCTGTAAGGTATGTAGTGGATTTAGCTAGTGAGAAAGACAGATCTTTGATTTGTCAAAGCATTCTTAAAATACTGCCATTTTTCTAAGCCAGAAGTTGAAAAGGTCAAAGGGGAGCTTTAAAACGTGATAACATTGTCTTGGAATTGGGGATGTATGGTATTTGCTAAGCAAATGCCAGACTGAATGAATGTCAGATGAGCTTTGCTCCACTCTGGAGCAGCCCAGAGCACAGAATAAAGACCAGCTCTCCGATCCTGACTTTACCACTATTGCTGTTACCTGGAAAAGTAACCTACACTCTGTGGACCTCAGTTTTCCATGTGTAAAATAAGGAGACAGGCTCAGAGAGTAGATAGAGGATCTTAGTTCAAATGATCATTTCTTGAAAAAAAATACAGTAAAATGGTTTTATTAACAGGTTATGAACCCAGTCATTATCTTTTTTTTATTAAATCTTTATTATTCAGATTATTACAGTTGTTCCTCTTTTTCCCCCCCATAGCTCCCCTCCACCCCGTTCCCCACCCCCCCCCTGCCCCTTCCCCCCCCCTCCACACCCCACCCACTCCAGAGCAAATATCAGATATGAGTGCAAATGAACACTAGGTCTGCCCGCCTCTTTTCCCTGCTGGAAGCAGAATAAGGAGAAATAAGATAGACGATTCTAACTCCTCACCGACCAGCAAAGCGATTTTAAGGGTGGAGAACGTGACACCAGGGTTTCAGAGCATTAACCTCTTGATGTTCTTTCTGGAGGCTCCACTGTTGTTTTGCATGGATTCCTCGGTATCTAGGCAAACCTCACCCTCTAACACTTGTAGGGGCACAATTGAAGTTACAAAGAAGGATGAATAGGAAAAAAAGAAAAAGAAAAAAAAAAGAGAGGGAGGTGATTCCTTTTAGCCTTGGGAGGCCAGCCTCGTCTTCAACCTTTAAAGCATCGCAGGGCCCCCAGGGACATAGCTCATTTCACGGCTTTGGTTTAGCCGCAGACACCTGAGCATGACAGATGATGAAACTGGGAAGGTCTGTAGTGGCCAGGTCATGGGGAGCCTTGAGTGCCCTGTGAGGAGCTTGGACTCCTTGTAGGTAATGGTGCGGCAGCAGGAGGTCTTACAGGAGTAAAATTGTCCATTGGACCTATTGCTGGGCTCTGGTACTGTGCCCTCGATGAGCTTTTAAAGCTCGGTGTTTTAATTTCTCGGCCTTGCCGATGTGTTATCATACTTTCATAATGTGATCATCTCACCTTGGAGATTTGTTACCATACTTTTATAATGTGATCACCATGCGTCTTTGGGTAATATGAAACAAATACGCCCAGCATATTCGGAGGG